AGATAGATAGATAGATAGATAGATAGATAGATAGATAGATAGATAGAGAGGCAGGCAGGCAGGCAGGCAGGCAGGCAGGCAGGCAGGCAGGCAGGCAGGCTGTTATGTGATAATTTATTAATTTGTAATTCTATGTTTAGGAGCATGGCATGGCAATAATAAAATAAGACACAATACAATTATTGGACTAGTGGGCACTGATGGCCTTTCCAATACTGAAGTTCTGTCCCCAGCTGGAATATATATCCAGTCTCCTGATAATTTGATAGAGGTAAGATATAAAGACAATACTATTGTACAATGGGAAAGCAAAAAACAAGTGACATTGTGATACATTTTCTTGAAACTTCCTCACCCCAACAGTTAGATTTGTAGATAAAATCGTTTTGCTATTTCTTGCATTTCTTTCTATCTCTATTTCTTCAGTTCAGTTCTGAACTGAAGAAGCTTCTGAACTGAAGAAGTTTCTTGGATGAGAAGTGAAACATTTTCAAGGAAAAGAAACTAAGAAAGCCCAGTTCTGTCTGAAAAAGCACCTTGGGGTTTCTCTAGGAACCTTGATTAAATAGTGTGCAAGAGGGGCTATATATCTTTCAGTTTTCAAAAAAAAATCATCCATTGGAAAAGAGAGGAGAAAGCAAGTAGAAACAAAGCAAATATAAATAAATGCTTAGTTTTCAACATTGCATTAAACAAGTATGTATAGTGCCAATATTATGAATAAAATGTAACTTGGTTGTACTTCTAATTCTGTCAGACATTCACACAGAAAGGCATTTCTGTGAAAATTCAGCCACAATGAAATCCATAAAATAAAGTTCCTAAAATTGTATTTCCACTTAAAATTTCCTGCTTGCCTAAAAGTACTGCTGTCGAGCTACTCTTCCTCTCCATAAATATTCCCTCCCCTCCTCAGGTTTAAAATAATTTCTGGACTGGCATCCTAGGTAAACATCCAGTGACATAATATGAGTTGACAATGGAAGCTCTACATTAACTGTGCTATGGGCAGTATGATATGCAAAGCTATATTTCTGCAACAAGGTGCCTAAACTTGTGCTGTAGGCATTACTCGTATCTCTTTGCTTTGCACCTGAAGAAAAATGTCATGCACCATGATAGCGAGAAAACTGGATAGGTCACAAGTCTGGAAACAGGATCTGGGGCCTTTCTTTCTCAAGCTACTGATTCTACTGATTCTTTTTGATCTAGGTCACAACTAGTGTTCTCAAAGCTATTCATCCAGCAACCTCTGGCAAGTAAGTGGGTGGTTGTGCTTGCAATCCCTTTGGGGACATAACCACTTGGCAAGCATTTAATATGACACCAGTGAGCACCTTTTGGCCACTGCACATCTGGATCAGATTTCTATTGTGATTTTGTGTGTGTGTGTGTTGAACTTTAGGCAATATTCTCAGTTAATTGCCTTCTCTCTTAGAGTCTCTTACTTTTGAACCTTGATTTGGTAATGAAATATTTTTATTTCAAATAGATACACTAGGGGGGAAAAGCATGCTGCTATTAATGAGATGCTGTAGGGTGATAGATGCTCACCTAATTGTGGTATTTTTATAATGTATTTTACTTAATTAATACAGTATTTTTATTTTTCTTATTGCTTTTCTTATGATATATATTCAAGTACATCTACAGCAGAATCCATTTGGTTTGTATTTTAAGATGAACTTACCTTGATTCTCATTCCTGATCTATAATGTGAATCAGAAGTCAATTGTTCCCCCCACCCCAAAAAAACATACAAAAGCGTGTATAGTAAGAAAAATAGTAGTACTTATTAAGAGATTAGGGAAATTCTATGTCCAAGTTCCCATCTGACCATAATGCTAACTGAATGAGTTGGGGCCAGCCACAGCCAGTCTAACTACTGTATATCGCAGAGTAGCTCTGGTGCTAAAAAGTGAGGGAAGAAAACTACTTTGAGCCCCTGAAGAAAACAGAAGCAGGAAGAGGAAGTCCATATTATGAAAAACTACTCAAAGTGTTGCAGAAATAAAATGGAACCAATTTTTTGTATAATGATCAAAATCATGTTTAAAAAGAACTAAAACTGAAATCCAGGATTTGATGTCAATGTTTGTAATAGTTGGAGAGGGGGCACGTTTCAGCGGTGAAATTCAATCACCTTGGCTCACCTCGGGAGAGGTGGTAGCAGTGGTGGGATTCAATTTTTTTTACTACCAGTTCTGTGGCCGTGGCTTGGTGGGCGTGGCAGGGAAAGGATACTGTAAAATCTCCAGTCAGAGGTGGGATTTGCCAGTTCTCCGAACTATTCAAAATTTCCACTACCGGTTCTCCAGAACTGGTCAGAACCTGCTGAATATCACCTCTGGGTGGTAGGGATGATTTGAATTGGTAAAAAAATTACCCTGATCGCCCCTGGTTGCTATTACTTTTATACCAAGCCATGTCCACAGCCACACCCACAGAACCGGTAGGGAAAAATTTTGAATTTCACCCCTGGCACGTTTGTATGTGTTCTCTCAACTTTCAGACGGACCTATTATCTTAACTTCCATGGGTTTCAACAATAATTTGATAGAGATATCAAAGTGTTGTTAGTGATGATAAATTCCCCTGACTTATAGACACAAATCTTTCTGGCAGTCTTGGTGTTTTACCATCAGCTGGTTCAGATGTCCTAATAACTCCTATTTCCTCTGCAGAGTAACATGGTGTGTGGCACTGGGCATGGTTATTTTTTTCACCTTCCTCCTTCAAGATTAGGAGAACCAGTGATGTCCTTCAGTAATAATGTAGCCTATTCTTGCTCCAGGTATTTTCCCCCCTTTTCTGCCTGTTTTATTTTGTCATCTCGCACATGCCATCAGATATACAACATGCACATACACAGGAAATCTGCAGTCATTAATTGGGGTAAATGTGTTTAATGCTTTCTCTGATGTTTAATAGGGTTTCCCTCCAGCAGGATGAAAACATATTGATATGCTATGGTTCATTTCTCATAGACTATGTAAACAATTCATTTCATTTTCAGTTACGTATAGCCTTCTCTATTCTAAACCATTCTGTCACATTTTCAACTCTTATGTTTTACTCATTGGAGAGATGTGGCAGCGATACATAATATTTCTCATGTTGCTGCATTCTGATTTTTTTTGGCAAAATATTATATTTGCAATTTAAGATTGGCACAGAGTCCCTGCCATCCTTCATGAAATTGTTTCAGCTCATTAACAAATGTCATGCATAGCTGCCATGAATTATTATTTATTTTTCTCCTAATCTATATTCATTTGATTATTCACATATCAGTTTGGTGTTGTAGTTAAGAGCCCAGGCTAGAAACCAGAAAACTGTCAGCTCTAGTCCCACCTTAGGCTGGAAGTCAGCCAGGTGACCTTGGGTCGGTCACTTTATCTCACCTGTAGGAAGGAGGCAATGGTAAACCACTTTTGAAAATCCTTTCCAAAAAAACTTCGGGGACTCATCCAAGCAAGAGTCGAAAACTCACTTGAACACACACACACAGACACACACACACAAACACACACACTGGAGGTTTTTAAGAAGAGACTGGACACTCACTTGTCTGAGATTGTATAGGTCCGTGATGGCAAACCTATGCCAGAGATAGCACGCAGAGTCCTCTTTGTGGGCACGCAAGCCATCACCCCAGCTCAGCTCTGCTGCGCATGTACACACACCTTCCACCGGCTAGCTGGTCTTTGGGTCTCTGCTGCGCATTCTCGGGGGACCTGTGTGCATGCATGGGGGGCAGAGCACATTGCATTTTGGGCATGACTTGCATATGTGTTTTGCGCATTCGGTGCTGAAAAGGTTTGCCATCACTGGTGTAAGTTCTCCTGCTTGAGCAGGGGGCTGGACTAGAAGACCTCCAAGGTCCCTTCCAGCTTCTATTCTATTCTAACACACACAGCATATTCTTGCAGAAATTATCATCATGAACATGTTGAAAACAGAAGAAATAATAATCTCAACCAAAGAACTATATGAGGGAATCATTGTAATTTTGGAGCAGACCAGGATTTTAAATCTTCTTGAGGCTGAATGTGTATAGAGGTTAGAAGTGGATTGCAAGTATTGCATTTCTTGTATTAAGTATGTACTTTCAACACCTTTCTAAAACACATATCACAAATATAATTATTTGTTTATACCCCACTTTTTCTCCAGAGCTCAAGGTAGTATACACAGTACCATTTTCCTCCACTCCCAATGTTCTTAATTTAACACCTTAAGCCTGGTCAAACACAAGGCCCACGGGCTGGATCCAGCCTGCGGGGTGCTTAGATCTGGCCTGCAGGGCCACCCTGGAAACAGCAAAGGACTAGCCCATGATGCCTCTGCCAGCGGAAAGGGAGCTCAGGGAGGCCATGCGTGGCCCTCCCAGCTCCATTTTGGCCACGATGGCCTCTTGCAGGCCTCTGCCAGCGAAAACAGAGCTCACACGCAGTCCCCTGGGCTCCGTTTTTGCTGGCAGTGGGCTACAGGAGGGCTTAGTGGCTGAAAAAGAGTGACATCGAGCTGACATAAGTCGTGTCAAACTGGACATGCCCCCCCCCCCCCCGATGTCAAACAGAACCCTGATGCGGCCCTCAATGAAATCGAGTTTGACACACCTGCCTTAACTGAAATGCTTGTTTTTAAAGTCAAGCTTACTATTCAGTTTCTTGCTTGCCTCTTTTCCTGAAGTATTTTGATCAAGTTGTTTATTGTAGAAATGAGCATTTTTTTCTGCCCTAATATGTTGGATGCTAGTATATATGATCAAATGTACTGATTAATTATCTACCCTGAAATTTATTTCAATAAAGAAAGTCAGAGTCCCCCGACTATGCCTTTTCTGTTTATTGTTTAAACAATTTTATCAATTGCCACCTCCAAATACACACCATGGATGTCATTTGTTGTACTAGAATCGCTAAATTACTCAATGAATGCTAGTGTGTTTAAGATATCAATCTGGGAACAGGGTCACCCAGATTCTAGTCCACCTTCAACCATGGAACCTCTCTGAGACCACCTGGACTTGCAGGGTTGTTTGTTGTGGTGAAAAATAGCAAGAACAAGCACTATGTCTAATATCTTGAGCTCTTCTACAAATGATGGGATAGAAATCAAATAAATCAAATAAATAATGCATATAGTTAAAACGTGCATCATCTGATATAAATTTACCTAGATTATTTTTGTTGTTTATGAAACCATCATTTACTTTGCTACAAATAGGTATGGACTCTTAATACATCCACCATATCACCCTCAAAAGGGAAACAATACAGAACCTGTTATATTCCAAAACTTTACTGCCTGGCAGTGCCAAGGTGGAGTGAAGGTACCATGCATTCTTTCTTCCTTGCCCTTCCCATGCATAATTCCCACTGATCCCATTTAATTTTTTTTTATTAAAGTATAATTAATTCTGTTGGCTACAAGAAGTAGATAATGCTAGATAATGCTAGATAATGTCTCTATTTGAAAGGAAATTCCCCTGGAATAATATAGATTACTGTTACTGTTGTCTTAGTCTTGAGCAAAGTAATTGAAAATTCAATCTTCCTATTTAGAAGAAGACATTTTAAACAGGCAGTTTAGAAACAACAGAAAAAGATAAAAGGAAAGCTAGAAAGAAGGGAAAATGGTAAAATTGTATATTAGCAGCGTCATAATGCTGTGTTTTAAATAATTTTATGTTTTTTTTTTAGTATTTAGTATTTATTTGATTTGTCAATCGTTTACAAGATACAGGTATAAGAATAAATATAGTTTTGGATACATTAGATACTTATAAGAAAAATAAAAAACAATAGGACAGGGACAGTAGGCACAATATTTTTATTATATTAATTGTCTGCAAATAATTCCCTTTTTGTGTTCATTTTCTATATCCCAGAGCATATTATTATGCTTAGGAGAGAGAACATAGTAATACTGATAATGAATGACTTTGCAGCAAAACTTGTGGAATATCAGTTTTGAATTTTTGTCGTCTGCTAACATGCAAAACTAAATCAATAGAATTGGCATTATTTTAGATGATTTCTTAAAAATGCAATTTGTCTTATGAAGAAGGAGCACAGGTTTGTCTTCATTTATTATTTTCTTTTAAACTGATGAGAGACTTTGTAGTTAGCATTATACTATATTAAAACAATGCTAATATATTATTTTAAAATATTATTCTATCAGATTATTAGCACCAGCAACCTTCAGCTTTGGAACTTCCATATTTCTTTTTGTAAATATTTTGGTATCAACATTGTGGAAAGTCTTGGAAACACTTCTGTTGTCAACAGTGTATTAATTGGGCACTTCCATGAAAAGGTATGAGGTTACAATTTTTTCAAAGAATTAAAGATCCAAGAACATTGAATTAAAATCACAGCTTTTCGGTTGTTCAGGAATTGAATTTTTTTCATAAACCAACCTCACAGAGTTATGATTTGATAAAGTCTTAGTAGCCAAATTCTTTGAAATCCAAATCATGTCTATTCTTGAATATGATCTATGTGTATCAGAAAAGTAAGTATAATCTCTTGAATTACTATTTTCTGTCTTCATATATCAACCAACTTTAAATTATCCATCAAATAAAAAAAAACAAAAAACCTTTGGGTAATTTATCTTCAGTAATTTTAACATTTTTCTGTGAAGTTCTGTTAATTTGTTGGAAGTCACTTCATTCCAACTCCCACTCAAATTTTCATTGAGAGAAACCTATTACTCTCTCTATAGGTAATTTATAGAATATCACTTTATTTTATTTATATATATCTCACCTTTATTATTTTTATACATTTACAGTATCCTTATTTGTGGCATCAGTTCCCAACATAATAGTCTCAGCCCCATGTAAATTAACCTCCACTCCAACAAATCTACCATGATCATCAATCAATACAAGTTCTGGTTTTAGTTGAGGATTTTATATATAAAAAATTATATACAAAAAAATATATTTCTGTTCTTTTTATGTTACAACTAAA